TGCAGGAGGTTTGGGACTTGGTTGATCAGGGAGATGACTCTTTCACCACCCCCTTGAAGAGAAAGGTGGTTGGAAGGGGGGGAAACAGGACTTTTTGCTATGCTGCTGCCTCCTTTTTTTTCAGTGGAAAGGTCTTGGTTTTTCTGTTTGTTTTTTTGTTTTTGTTTTTTCTAATACTCTATAGAACTTGTGCATTAAACATTTAATTCTGCAGTGACTCCCAACAAAAAAACAGCTTGCAACTAGAAGCAATGAAAACGCTAACTGAGGAAAACTCAAGAGAAGGTAAAACATATTGAGGTAAGCCCAGGTAGGATGTTCAGGGTTCTTATAATAGTGTATAATTTTAAAAATGTTTTCTCTATATTTTGTAGTGCAGGAGAACTCTTGACAGTGAGTACAGGCACTGGAGCTTTTTACCACAGAGCTTAGAAACCGAGGCAGTAACACGTTGGTGCTTGGTCATGAAATTAATTACTAAGGCGGTAAGATGAAAATTTGTGAATAGAACCACATCCCTAGCTTTCAGAGTAGAGATGGAGCTAGAGCATGTCAGTGCTAGGAGTGCTTTACTGGTTTACTGCGGGAAGCATCAGTGAAGTGCATAAAGGGGTGCAACAGAGTACAAAGCCACCTTCTGTACTTAAATATGGAAAAAGTATGCTGAACAAGGCTGCTCCAAAGTTACTAGAACCTTGATGATGATGATGATGATTAAAATCCAGTAAGCGACTCAGCTGAAGAAAGGACTGCAGGAGGCTGCCCAACTGTTGCTGTAGACCCTGCACTTTGAAGACTGAGAAGGTGCTCTGTGAGTTGGTTTGGTTTTTATTTGGGATTTTGGTGGTTTTTTTGTTGTTTGTTTTCTTTTTCTTAAGTTTCCTGCAACAAATATTCCCCAGCTTAGGGGAAATAGGTTAGCTGCCCTGTTAGCAACCAGCTGGCTGCTCATGCCACAGTTTTGCTGATAAAGTTGCGTAGGAATTTGTGCCAGCATAGCTTTCTGTGCCAGGGATGCCACTTGAGAACCACACTGGCTGAAGCCTGTGTAGACGTGGCCTGAGGGGGTTGTCCAGCCGCTTTGTCTGGTTTGTCTCATGGTAGGGAGAGCACGCTGTCTCCCGCTGCTAAGCGTGGACGGCCGGTTATGCTCTGACTTTGTTACAGTGCAGGGAGGGATTTGACTTCTAAACCCTCGGTGAATGGGAAAGATGTGGAAATGGTCCATCCGCGAGTTTGGAGGGATGAAGTGTGGGTCAGATGGTGAAATGAAGCTTACTTGTGTACCCAGGACCTGGGCATGGCAGTTTTGGCCTGAGCGGCTTCCTGAAGAAAAGAGGTCTAGGTGATCAGGTTGCTTGTGTGCCTGTGGTTTTTGTCATCCAAGCTGTCGCAACTTGTGAGCGGCGTGGCTGATTGCAGTCGGATTTTGTAGAGGTCTTGAAGATGCTGGATCTCTAATGGCTTCAATGAAGTGTATCATCTGGTAGGGGAAAGGAACTCCAGGAATGTTCCTGTTAAGAAAGAGGCTGTGGTGTGACCTTCCCTGTTATTAGATGAAAGAGAAGCTCTGTGTCTGGATGCAAGAGAACCAGCATTAAGAGGACCCCTTCTGAGTCTGAAGCTTTACACATGCAGGAGGGTGGCCAGCGTGTTTTGCACTGCAAATTCTTTGCACTGCAGTCGTTCATATTCTTGACACTGTCACACACTTACTTTTTAAGCCATAGTAGCACGTTGGTTGTAGAAGTGACACACCGAGAGTTTAGATCTTTAAAAGGGGAAGTAGATGCTCCTTCATTAGTGAAATTCGTCTTGACAATGACTGAATCTATAAACCTGTTGTTTGAAACAAAGCAGCTCAGCAGACAAAGATATTTTCCTCTTTAAACTCTAGTTTTTGTTGCTACAATAGTCTTGCATTTACCCACCCCACTTACAACATAAGAAGCAAATTTCTTTTCAAATCGCTTTTTTTTTCCTGATGGACTCAATTAGCCTCTCTTGTCTGCTGCCCTGCACTTGCTTTTCCACTCTCTCAGCTCAGCCCTCTGGCACAGAAGGCTGCCAGGGAGGAAAAAAAAGGCTTAGTTTGCTAGTCAGAGATCAATACTGAAGGTAAGAAGAACACTGCATAGGCTGTGATCAGGGTGTGTTTAGTGTTGTGCACCTTACTGAGTCTCTGGCCCTTATTCCCACCAGCACTTCTGTGGCCCTCAGCTTTTCCAAGCAATGTATGAACTAAAAAACTCATGTTGGCTTTACTGCCATCCAGGTAGTTTGGAAAAGTAATAATGGTCACTTGGCTATGTTGTTTGCCCAAATGCTATAGACTTCAGGATAATACAGTTATGTCTTTGCTTTTCAGCTGGCTGGAAGTCCAGCTCTTTGGAATTGTGACCAGCTTGCCCAGTCAAGCACCTCCAGCCAGGCGGGATGCTGCACAGCAAGGCAGTGGGCTCAAGCAGTGGGTGCTGGAAACGATCAGTTGGCTTCGCTTGGTTTATAACCGAGTCTAAAGAGTGGAAATGGCTAAAGCCATTTCTTTCACCTGTCCTTTTGTTGCTTTTCCCTGAAAAGTTGCAAGGTTGGTAAGCAGAAGAAAATGAAGTGCCCCATTACAAGCACTCTGGTGACAGAAAGCATCCCGCTCCTAGGCTTTGCTGCCGCTTCCTGACCCAGGAGAGGGCAGCAGCCTCCCAGGCTGCAGTCTCTCCCAACCTTTCCAAAGCTTTGCTCTTTCCTTCCATGGTGGGAGTTTGAGCCTGCAAAAAGCTTGGAAAGAAATGCAGTGTATGCAGTAGCAAGTGCAAGGCAAATACTGGTTCGACAGGGTAGCGATACTCTCCTTACTCGCAAAACTGCATGCTTTCAACATGAAAATAGAAAGGGAAACTGGTTCATAAGAAGGAGTGTAAAAGTATGGGGTTTCTTGTAGCAATAATTTTGGACTTTTGTTGTTGGTTGTCACTGTGTTAAGGTCTTTGCTGCACCAGAAAATAATGTTGTGTTGCTTTGGTTGCTTACAACACAGGTGAAGGTAAGTACAATGAAATATGGCCTAGTACTCTAACACTGCGGTGTGGATTGTAGGAACCCCTTCGTAACACCTCGGTAAGCTGGTGGTGAACGCACAGGCTGGCAGGACGGCCCTTGCAAAGGCTGGCTCTGATGCTGTAGATTTTTGTCAACGATTTCGTAGTGAGCTCTCATGTTTTCTCATGTTGCTTTGCTTGCAGAATACTTCAGGTTAAAGAAGGGTAATTAGCAGCGTCTTGCTGATGTGCTGGCTGGCTTTCTAAACCTGCTGTCTGTGGGAGAATAAATGACAAAAGCGGCAATTCTCTTTTACCTGGGAAAGTTTCTGTTCCCTGTCCTTTGGCATTCCAGGTGCAGACTCTCTGTTCTTCCTTGCTTAGTCTTTCTAGCCTGCCGTTTGGGACTAAGCACAGTGAAACTCAGAGTGATCAAGCAAATTTTTACCCACAGCATCACCTTTTTAGGTCATAATTTCTCTCTGCATCTCAGTCCGTGTTATTTAGACCAGCCAGACAGGTAGCTTGTTCTTGTATTACGCAATATCACTAGGTGTGGAAAACAACCACCTTCAACTCCCACCCTGCCAGTATGAGTCATTTATCACATGAGTGGGAGGAAGACATACTTTAAGTAATCTTCAGTCATACTTGTCTGCATAACATAGCTAACCCAGAGTAGCGGGCACCTCATTTCTGTTAGTATTGGTCTTTCCTGAGATCATGTGGGTGTCATATCGCTTTCCCTGCGTACACCTTAGGAATGGATCTGCTTTGCTGTTCACGTGGCTTTAAATTTTCTCCATTTCTCTGATTAATTTTTTTTTTTCAGATCACACCCTCTGAAATCACAGCAAAATACGAAACTGTTGTTTATCAAAGCTCTTCTAAAATGATTAGTTAAAGAAGTTTTAACTTTGTGAAGCAGAGCTTGTTTGCTTCTTCATAAATGCAATGACAAAGGGAAGTAGGTAGTAAACACTTTAACTTGCAGGCACCTAGTCTTTTTAAAACGTTTCACTTAGCCTTAGTCCAGAGCCTAAGCAGAACAACGTCTGAACGATCCCTGTCTCTTTGTACAAGTGCAGGTCATTGTTAACCTCCTCTTCAAAAAAAATGACAGCCAAACTTTGATTTTTGAATATGTATGCAGCCTGATTTTCTTTTTCCTGTGAAGTGAGGACTTGTTTCCTCGGTCTCTGAAACAAACAGGAATGGTAGATATTTAGTGCTTGAGAAAAATCAGGCCAGAGCATTAGAGGCTTAATTATCATTTAGTGATAATTCTTTACGCTGAGATTTCAGTCTTCTCCCTTGCGTGTCGATGGGAGAGGGCCTTCTCTTCAGATCAAGCTACACAGACGAGTCAGAAATGGGCCACCTGGAAGAGTGCTCTACGTAAGGCCAAGAGCAGATCTGAAAACAGAGCTACTTTCTGTGGCTGTTTGTGGTTCCCTGTCTCCCTTTGCACCTTGGAGCTGATGCTGCTCTAGAGAAGAGCGTGGCTGCTGCATTGGACTGTTTCTGAGGTGTTTTGTGTTCACCTCCACCCAGCTGTAAGCAGCTCAGAGCAAGCTGCAGAGCACAGATCCCTGAATTTTCTTTCTTTCTTCTTCTTCCTCCACAGAGACTCCCCAGCTGAACCCAGTGATGGAGCCCCTGTCCTGGATGCTGGGCACCTGGCTCTCAGACCCACCAGGAGATGGCACCTTCCCTACAATGAAACCCTTCCAATACCTGGAAGAAGTGCACATCTCTCATGTGGGGCAGCCCATGCTCAACTTCTCGTAAGTCTAGCAGTTTAGCTGTGTTGGCAGCAGCTTTTGGATCAGAACAGGCATGGGTGTTTCTTTTGGTCATTGGTTCTTTGTTGGTTGGTCGTCTTGTTGGTTGTGTTTCTTTTCCAGTGGCAAAGTAAACAAGTTTTCACCTACCAAATGAGATGATATAATGGTAGGTGACTGCATGGTCTGACTTTCGTTTTCCTTTAAAACTTGTGATTAATTGGCATGCTGTTGCAACATACTCACAGCTGCACACCTGCGATCACCGAAGATGCGCTAGCCCGAGAGTACGGTGCAATTCTACAGGGCTTTTCAAAAGTGAGTTCGCGCCTGTGAACTCACACAGAAGTGCAAGTGTACGAGATCAGGACTGTGGCCATGGTGCAGCGTACAGTTCTTGTGGCCTGCCAGTCTTGAGGGTTACGTAGTGAGAAGTAACTCAGGATGCTGCAAATGTGACTGTGACTTAGAATAGTGAGAGTAACGTAGGGTACCAAGAATGGCCCCAGCATGGACATCACTATTGTTTGTGTAAATTCCATACCTGCCTTTTGAAGACCAGTGATCCTTCCACTTCAATGTCATGTGCCCTGGGTGCATATGTTAGCGGAAAGATGTACCATTCTCATGGCGGAAAAAAACCCAACATTATTCTTGCTGATGGTAGCTGTCTAATCAGAAATGAAACTTTAGGAAATGAAACTTCAGTGCAACTGCTATTATTCTGCTTTGTGAAACTCCCACTTACAGATACAATAAATGAAGGAGCTATGGCATGGCTGCTGCGTTTGTCCATTTTAAACTGTGGTCTTCAGTCTTCACCACTGTGAAAATCTGAGAAAAATTAAAGTGTTTAACAAACTGTATGGGATAGGAGGCAGATAGCTTAACTGCTTTGGCTTGAAGTAATTGTTCTGAGAGGAAGAAACAGGAGGGCAGGGACACCTTCAACCTGGTCTAGTGGAAGGTGTCCCTGCCCATGGCAAGGGGGTTGGAATTAGATGATCTTTAAGGTCCCTTGCAACCAAACTGTTCTGTGATTCTGTAAGATCAAAAAGGAATCTGCAGGATGAGAAGTGACATGTTAGCTAACTGCGCAGTGCTGCTGCAATACTTATTTGGAAGGGATGAGTTGGAAAGTTTCTTGCTTTGAAAACCAGAGAAAAGAGTAATTACAAGATGCCAACGCTGTATGAAAGATGCCTGGTGTGCGCGCCATTCGTTATGACAGAAATGCCATCTAAGCACATGACATTTTTAGTCCACTTTCCAAAAGAAACAAAGCTCCAACAGTCATTCTCTGTCTACACCTTCCTCTCCAACTTTTGAACAGTTGCTGATTTGAGTTGCCTTTCCCTTTTTTTTTTTGTGCCAAGGAGATACACAGTTCAGAGCAGTTGAGCTCTGGGAAGTGTCAGGAAAATGGGCAGCAGGCTTGGAGGACAGAACCCTGTGCCTCCCTGGCTCCTGGAGCAGTGCTGCTTGACTGTTACAGGACAGTCCATATGTCCCTTCAGTACTCCAAGCCCTGAAAGAAGCCTGATTTAAGTTTGTTCCTCCTTTGATTTTAGATAATCCCACCATGAGGCACAACTCCGTAGGGTACCTGGCTTCACTAGCTGCAGAGCACAGATGCTGAGATGCTGGAACAGTCCTTAGCAGGGATGCAGCCCTGCACCACCGATAGAAGTAATTCCTAGTTCTTTTAACCATGTGGCTATAGAAAGGAGACATCCTTTATACAGAGACAAAGCCAAACAGGAGGAGTAATTTGTGTATTTGTACCCAGAGGACATTGGGGAGCCAGAAGCAGCTGCACGGTGCCCAAACTCTTCCCTAACTGCATGCCTTAGCTGTGCGCCCCCTTCCTTGTCTCTAGTTCTTTGAAGCCCATGGATTTCTTGTACCGTGTGTAGGGGTACCATGTGCTGCACCTTGTGCTGCTGGTCTTCCAGGAAATGTTGACTCTGTGAGATTCATTATATTTTACTTCACATAGGAAACACTTGTTTTGGACTTTTCAGCTCTCAGTGCTTCTGTAATGACTGCTCCAGCTTGCCACATGCCAGTGGCTGGGCAAGCCCCTTGGTCAATCTCTTCTTGCACACTTGCCCTGTTACCGTTGGGGTGGCAGCTGATGATACAGCATATTCCCAGTCCCAGGACAGGTCATGGTGGCCAAGGGGACTGGTGTTGGCCGTTTCCAGCAGGCACATGCCCATTGCACAGCAGAGGCACGTGTGGAAACTGCTGTTGCATGAGGGAGTTCTGGGTGAAGATTAAGCAGCAGCAGCTTCGACATTGCCCCTGTCTCTTGCTGTAGAAGGATGCAGAGTGGGAAATTCTGTGAAAAACAGTATGAAAAGAAAGAGATTAATCTAGAATAAAGAAACACCAATAGGACAGTCTGCTATATTATATAGATACCTAGCTTACTATTGTGTTTACGCTGCTGTTTAATTTGGTTGCCTGTGTAGGCTCAGGAATGCTGTAGCACTAATGTAATGTATGAACATACGTGATATATATGATCACCCACATTATGGGTGACCAAACATAGAACTGTAAGGCCTCATGAAGAACAAATCTGAACTGAACTTTTTTTGAAGGGGGTGGTGGGAGAAATAAGTCTGCTCTGTTACTGCCTGCAGCAAGTAATATTCAAAAAGCACCAACTTGCCAGGTTTAAAAGCTAAATCATTGTAATTCCAGATATTTATTTGAGAAAAGGAAGTATTTGAGACAGAGTATGGCTTCAGCACCTGTGAAATGTTTGACTTCCCGAGGGAGTTTCTGACCTAGCTCTTAGAAAGAACCAGGAGCTGTGGAAAATTTGAATCTTGAACTTAAATAACCAACTCCAGCTCTAAGAAATAGCTGTGCCTGTAAAGTAACAGTATTTTTACACTTTTACATCTCCCAACCATGAAGCATTGTCATTCTTTTACTCTTCAAATAATGCTGCAGGCAATCATGTGGTTAAATAAAATACCGTTTCCTCTGAGATGAAACCAGACCAAACACTGTATTTTCAGTGTGACGAACAGCAGCTTTTGTGTTCTGATTTTCCCTCAGGTTCAACGCCTTCCATCTGGACACCAGGAAGCCCATGCACCGAGAATGTGGATTTATCCGCCTCAAACCTGACACTAATAAGGTGGCCTTCATCAGTGCCCAGAACACAGGTACACACCTGATATCCACACTGGAGAAAAGAGGTCCTTACCTTGCTGTGCCATTTCATTATGTTTCCAGAAAATTATTGCACCTGTCACAGTTTCAGTTAGCTTGGTTTCACTGTGGGTTCAGCGCCAAAGAGCAGCCACTGTTCTTTGGCACTGAACCCACAGTGACAACAGTTTAATAAATGAGCTTGTGTCAAAAGCACTGACTTTCTAGGACTGGCTATGTGGCATCACTAGCTTTCTGTGACAGGAAAGGACTGCAAGTCAAAATACGGCTCATGCAGGAGACTCGAGGAATATCGTTTCTTCAAATGATATGTTGGTATTTGCAGACGTAGCTTTGTAAACCAAAGGAACCCCTGCTTCGGTAGCAAGAATTGCAGTCTGAACCTTAATGATGGCAGGTGATAAGTGACCAGTGATGTTCTTGATGCCTTCGTAGCATCCTAGTCTTTTTTTTTTTCTTTTTTTTGTGGGGAGGCAGGGGGAACGTGTACAGATAAGGTGTTTTGTTCCCACTGCTCCCATGAGTTGGCCGCAGTTGGCCCTGTGGTAGAAGTAGAGAGGTGCATGCCTTGGTTCATGAGCTTCTGGGTCTAGAGTTCTCCTTCTATTGCTCCTGTTGTATTTGGACAGCTGCTTCTTCTAAGCAGGGTCAGATTTAACATCCTGCTTAAACTGTTGTTACCAATATCAGCACTTGCCGCATTTGATTCTGCGGTGCAGGGTAGAGCTTGTGGCCCTGGTAAGGTGGGGCTTTGCAACCTCTCCATCCAGGAGTGTTTGGTGTGAGTAGTGTAGCAGGTTCCCTGTTAGAGACCTTGCTGAGGCTGTGGCACTACCGAGAGCCTCTGCAGCACTGTAGCAGGGGAGCTTCTCTCCTACTGTTCCCTTAACAATCTTGGAGAGTAATCTCAGTGCGGTCTTCTTAGCTCCTAAACTAGGAGAATCTCCCACTGTCTGGATGTAGTGCCTTGGTACTTGTTACACACCTTACAGGGACTGAACGAGAGACAGAACATGTCTAAATTATTGCGAGTGAAAGTTAAAACCCAGTTGATGCTTAAATTTGCATCTAAAACTCCAGAGCAGGTGCTGAAGGGAAAACTGCCAGTTGCAATGCAATACTCATGCCACACGGTATGAAAAAGTCTGTCTGGCTAGATTTTTCTAAGTAGCATTACATGTCTGAGGTTGCATGGATTTGCAGTTGTCTATATGTGCTAGGTCAAATAAAAGTGTTCTTCAGGAAGAGTGGTGGTCTTTTACATAGCCTAATAATTGTGACATCATTAAGTAACCTATGTAGCCTAATAATATACATGACCTTGCTTTTCACTAGGTCTGGTGGAGGTGGAGGAAGGAGAGGTGAATGGACAAGAGCTGTCTATAGCTTCTCACTCCATAGCCAGGATTTCCTTTGCCAAGAAACCCCACGTAGAGCAGGTGAGTGCACACACGGTGAGCAATTCACATAGTATTGCTAACCCCAGAAGGTGTCTAGGTGAGAGGATAGGTTGATTAGCACATTTTAATTAGACTGCCATCAGGAGTTCTTGGAAATCCTGCCTGGCATTCTGGCTTATCCTTTCTGTAATAGCCTTCAGAAGATGTTTCATACATTACAAGACCCAGAGGGATCATTAAGGTAAGAACTGATGCGATGAATCAGACCAGCCAACCCAGAATCCTCTCTCCAGCAGTGGCCGGTAGCACGTCCTTAGGGGAGAGAATAGGAAAGTCTTGTCTAAATACCCTTGTATGGCAGTGGTGTTACTTCTTACTGCTAGTCTTGGATTAATTACCGTAGGAGGGTGCGCATGTAAGGTATGTCCAGTATTGGGATATCAGGATATTTTAGGAACACTTGCCTTTTACTGGAGCTCCACCTTGTCTTTGCAAATCTTGCCTGCTTGCTTTTCAGGGCATTCACAAGTTGCCCTGGGCTCTCCTCCGATCTGTGGCTGCTTGGCAGGGCTGGCACTTGCTGTCAGCTCCAGTCTTGGTTGACTGCTTCTTGGTTTTTGACTTTTTCTTTTTTTGTGTGTGTGTATTGACGGTGTGTTGTTGACACAGCTGGATGGGGTACAGCCAGCTGCGAGTAAGATGGCACTGCTGGAGTTAGGGTGGTGTACAGAGGTCACCGCTGGAATCCTCGCTGTCACATATGAAGTTGTCTTGGCTATCTGGCAGCTGAGAAAGACAGCAAGGTTGAACAAGCTCTCACAAAGAGTAGGTACTGGCATGTTCTTGCATCTGTTTTATTTTCTCTGATAACGTGTGAATGAAGTGACTGCAGTTTTCGAAGGGTGACAAGTGAGGTGTGGCTCTTGGGAGAGAAGACACTACTTTGATTGCAGCAAATACAGTATTGTCTTATTCTGGACTCTAAGGCTTAATTTTGCAACCTAGTTTTTATGTGCTATAAAACCTACCCGTAGTTAACTGAGAGCACAAGTTTGTGCAGATGCAGCCGGTGTCATGAGCGTGCTCCCAAAAATGGACTGCCCTCTCAGAGTCACTGCCTGAAATGTGAGCAGCTAGACTGGCAGGAGGAGATGGAGAAAGCAATGGAAAACCACTGAATGTCTTCCTGGTTGAGGGCTCCAAGGCTGGCTTTGGCTGAAGGCTGGAAGAGGGAACCTCCTGAGCTGAAGGTCTGTGCTCACCTGGCACATGAGGACAGTTCAGGCCCAGGTACTGGTTCCAGTGAGTATCTTGGAGGCCCTTGTTGGTGAAGGAGGATGTGGCATGAGAGGGTATGGCAGGTAACCAGCTCCCGATGCGTTTTCTCTTCACCAAGAAGAGTGTAAATTGGCGATGGAAATGAAGAGACCACAAGTTTCCCGATGACGGGACACCCATGGCATGTGGGTCACCCATCTTCAGAAAGTGCCTGAAGGTCAGCCGGGAGAGCTACAAGCCGGTCAGCCTCGCTTCAGCCCCTGGAGATTTCTGCATATACGAAGGAGAAGGTGATGGGGCACAGTCAGTATGGTTTTTACGATGGGTAAATGGTGCCTGGCTGACCTGGTTGTCTTCTGTGATAAAATGCCTGGATTTGTGGAAGAGGGGAGGGCAGTGGTTGTCGCTTACCTTGAATTCAGCAATTTCCCACAGGCTTTTCCCTGTGCTTGCTGTTTCCACTCCTGTGTGGGAAGTAACATTCCCCCCATGCGTCTTGGGCGTACGCAGAACTTGGCCTCCCACGGTACCATCAGCCAGCCTTTGATTGAAGAGAGTGCCCTTTTAAGAGAAAATCCCCCTCTTTTTTGCCCAGTTCATTTCATTTCCTCCTTTTGGCATTCGGACTTCGTTGTCTGACCTGCAGTGGCCCATTCAGAAAAAAACGGAACCCTGAGCTCAGGTCACACATTGTGAGATAATTCTTGTTAAAGACGACTGTCTTTTGTATTCCTTTTAATTGCCTTCTCCTGCTTAGGGTATTTGAGGAACTGTCGTGCATTACAAAGAAAGCCCCACCTGATCAGCAGGTATTCATCAAAACATCATTTGCTTATCACCCTGTTCCTGCTGTCGCCCGTGAATATCAGAACAGCGGCGCATCCTCCGCAGCCCTGCGTCGCTTCGCTCTCAGCTGGTGGTAACCTCCTGGAAGGAGGACGTGTTGGATGTTGGCATGAAGGGCACACTGCGGCCTTAGGAACGGATGTGTTAACGGAGAGGACGCTGTCTAGGAGCACGCAGACTGGCGATAGCTCATGGGTGTGCCCTTGAGTGACCTTCACTGGAAATGAATACATTTGCAAAAGCCTCTGCATTTTAGGAATTTCTAAATGGGGCTGGTTTAAGGGGCTACGAAGTAATGGTGCTTGCAGGTTATCCTGCTGTCCCCAGGATTTTGTTTCTGTTTGCCACCGGGATTGCGTTTGGCACGGGAAGCAGCAAGTGGCCGTCAGGCAGGATAAGCAGCTCTTCTGGATGATGTGGAGCGAATCTGTGCAGAAATCGCGCAAAGGGCCGAAGTGCTGGGTGCGCAGGGTCCGTGCCAAACTGCCTCCTTACAGCAGCACTCGCTTGGTGAGCTGCCATGGCCTGGTGTCATCCATGTGGTTACGTGGGCATTCGCCTGCTGGGCCGGGCAGCTGGAGTGACACCCTCCAGAGCGTTATTCTGGGACAGGAGCTGAGGTTCAAAAAGGATAGTCCCACTTCTCTCCTTTATTTTGGCGACAACTAGGAGCAGACTTACAACCTGTACTGAACACTGTGGATGCTTAGCCGCTCCCTCCTCCAGTTTCAAAGCTGCTTAAGCCTGGGTTCAAGCATCTGCTTTCATGGGTCCTAAGTGGTCCAGCTCCACAGGGAAACCCCAAATTGCCTCTCTTGAGGTTTGGTGGAGCACAGACAGACTTGCAGCTTGCCCAGGTGGAGGGATGGGGATGATGTTGCCTGTCGAGTCCGGCAGCGCTCTTCCCTCCTGCCCTGGGGCTGAACCCCCTCCTGGCTGCAGGCGCCAGCCGAGGCTCGACAGGCTCCGATCTCCCCATGTAGTGGGAGCAGCGCCTTACTCTGGCATAGTGTGGTGACCTGCAGAGAGCCCGAGTGGTTTTGAAGGCTGCCTTGGGGCTGTCATCCAGTGCGGAGCATCTCTCTGAGCCACCACCTGGGAGCTGCTCTTTTGGTGGAGGGATGTTGGCCTGTCTGTACTGAGATGACGTAGTAGTAGTGCCAGGACACTGATGCTCCATGGATAATGGTCTTGGATAAGGGGCTTGGAGCTGGTGTTTTGGAAAGGGCTGCCTTCTTTAGGAGAGAAAATTTCTCCTCGTTTACTCTCATGGCTGTAGTGAGCGTATCCTTCCGTCTGTGGTGCGTTGACGGCAAACACAAGGATGGCAAAGGGAAGTGTCGTGGCTTAACCCCAGCCGGTAACTGAGTACTATGCAGCCACTCGCTTAGTCTCCACGGCCCTGCTCTGGTGGGACGGGGAGGAGAATTGGAAAAAGGTAAAATCCATGGGTTGGGATAACAACAGTTTAATAATTGAAGTAAAATGAAATATAATAATAATAATGAATGTAATGAAAAAGGAGATAACAGAGAGAGAAAGAGGAATAAAACCCCAGACAGACAAGCGACGCACAACACAATCGCTCACCACCTGCTGACCGATGCCCAGCCCGTCCCCGAGCAGCGATCGGCCCCTCCCGGCCAACTCCCCCCAGTTTCTATACTGGCCGTGCCGTTCTGTGGTATGGCATACCCCTTGGGCTGGTTGGGGTCAGCTGTCCTGGCCGTGCTCCCTCCCAGCTCCTGGTGCCCCTTCTCGCTGGCAGAGCATGGGGAACTGCAAAGTCCTTGACTGAGGGTAAGCCCTGCTTAGTAACAACTAAAACATCACTGGGTTATCAACGTTATTCTCACACTAAATGCAAAACACAGCACTGTACCAGCTACCAGGAAGAAGATTAACTCTATCCCAGCTGAAACCAGGACAGGAAGGTGGAAAGCACAGGTAAGGAATTTAGCCTGTGGATGCTGTTTGCTTAATTTCATTATTGATTTTCTTACCCCTTTTTTAGATTACCAGAAAATTCAGGCTCAATTCTGATGGGAAACTTGAACAAACTGTCTCAATGGCAACCACTACGCAGCCCATGACTCAGCACCTCCACATTACCTACAAAAAGGTGATGCCCTGATGCCGGGAGGGCCGGGTCTCCCTGCCGAAGGCAAAGACCTGGGCGTCATGCACCGAGAGCAGTGGTAGCTCAGGAGCACGGCATCGTGGACCCCGGAACTGGCTGCCTGCGCTTGCCCCCAGGGCTGCGGAGCTGCCCGTCCTGTTGAGAATGTTACTCATGTTTCAGTAATGGTATATTAAAAAAAAATAAAAATAAAAAGCTTTTATTTTTATGGCTGTGTCTTTGGGTGTGATTGCAGAGTGGTCTGCGCATCCCTCTGCTCTGGCAGCGGTTACAGAGGGGTTTTTTGATGCCTGCTCATCAGTAGGCATGGGTTGCAAATTCAACCTCCAGGACCCTTCTCTGCAACCTGGGTAATGCTGTGGAAGCAGCAGGATCAGGAATGGATTTGCACTGCAGGGACAGACCCTGAGAACTCCAGCTCCTGCCTAATGATACTCATCTTAAGTATTCAGAGGGAGCACCTCTGTCTTGCTGTCGGACGGAGAGAACTGTCGCAGGGCCTGATCCTGGTGGTGCCGTCCAGCTGACTTGAAAGGACTTGGGGCGGTCCGGGAGGTCAGGACCAGACCTTACCTACCTTCAGTGCAGAGTATCACAAGAGTTTGGGTGACAACTGTGAGCCAATAGACAGGAGAGAAACTGGGAACAGCAGGGAGTGGTCTTGGCTGTTCCTTTTTCCAGCTTGGGAGTTGTGGTGCAGCCTGGGATGTGCCTCATATTTAGGGAGTCTCCAGAGAGAAACCCGGAGCCCTTCCGCACTCCGGGGTGTCCCCAGGACAGTGCCGCCCCACTCCATCCCCTCCTACAGACTGGGTGGCTGGGGAGCTCCCCGCATTGGGCCTGAGCTGCCCCCCACACCCGCCGGCCGCCTTGGCAGACCTTCCTTCCCAGGGAGGAGACCCAATGTTGGTGTTGAGAGTTTTGGGGGGCTGTGTCTGCCCCAGCAAGGGCAGCTGAGCGTGGGGTGAGGCTGCTCAGGGCGACTGCGGCCTCTTGGTGCCTTCTGGGCCCCGGAGACAGAAGCAAAGACAAAAAATCTCATGGAGGTTTAGATCAGAAAATGCTGGCAAGCAGGAGGTGTCTCTTCGGTGCTTCCCAAAGGCTCCCTCTGAGCAGCATCCTCTTGTTGGAGGTCCCAGGCCACGCCGGGCATCGAGGTGGCCCTTTCTGTCCTTCCTCAGCACTCCAGGGGGGCAGGAGGCAGGACGTTTGCGAGTGGCTTTCTGGTACCTAGAGGAAGATCCAACCCTCGCAGGGCTTTCGGCAAACCCCCCCCTTGGCCCAGTACCTGGCAAAGCTCTGGCCTTTGCCCACCGTGCCAGCAACGCGATGGGAGCGGGTCTGCATGCGGCCCGTGTCACGGCTTACGACATCTGTCTGCTTAACCCGAGGTGTGCGGTGCCTCCGACACTGGGCCACGTTCCCGTGTTTCGTACTTCATCCCCATCAATATTGCAGGGTACCGTGCTGCTGCCGGCTCAGCGTAACTCGCTCCGGCGCTGCAGCTGTATTGCAGGGTGGCGTTGGCTCATCCCTCCACAAGAGCCGCCCCGTGCCGGGTGTCAGCCTGTGCCAAGGCTGGGGAGGGATTAAGGGGCTGAATCTGTAATGGATCCTCGTCGGGCGATCGGTGTTTAAAGGCTTTGATCTGCTGCTGCTTGATTGCATTCCAGCCCCTCGATTGAATTTCTCACGTGTAAGTGAGCCCCAGCGATCCATCCCGGCCATATATAATGGATGGCAGTGGAGCGCAGGGACACCGCCGTGGCTGCGTATCGGTAGCAGATGTCTGTGGAGCAGTGTGGCAGATCCCTCTGCCGAAGATCCCCCCGCTGCCGGTACCTGCCCTCTGTGCCAGCCGGTGCAAAAACCCTTCCTCTGTCCCCAAAACCTGGCCTGGCCGTGTGCGGGGGGCAGGCGCCGTGACCAGCCTCAGTCATTCTCCGCTGGCCTGAGGAGTGAGACGGGGCTTGGAGCTAAGCTACCGAGATGCCGTTTGCAGGACCAGCGCTGGGGATGCTGAGAGGGGCCATGCCTGCTTTCTTCCACGCCGGTTTGCTTGCTCCTGGGGGGATGCACCCCGGGCAAGGGCCGGTGGCCGCGATGCCTCCACCGCACATCCTCCCCTCCTCTCAGCCGGCCCTGGCCTCGGTCCCCATCGGGCAAGAGGCATTCCCCAGAGGAGATGCCCAAACTACGCCTTGGAGGCATGGTTCACAAACATCAATCCGGCTGAATTTGACCCGTGGCGTGGGACATGTTTGCGGGCACAGGCTCCAGAGACCGACCAGAGTCCTTTGTGCTCTTACCTTGTTCCTCCCGCTGTTGCAAATGGATGTTAACGTGCCAGGACTTGCTGTCAGCCTTGCTGGGTTTTAGCTGGGCTTTTCGGAGGGGCAGGCCAGCTCAGCCCCCCGCGGCAGGTAAGACCCCACGGAGGCTGGGGCTCCGGGCGCTCCCATTCCCCAGGGGAAAGCCAGCCCGTGGACCCCCAGGGAGCAGGGCGGGAGGGTTGGGGGTGCGCGCTGGCTCCACGCGGGTCCCGCCAGGCCACCGTGGTTTTGTCATATGCAAAAGTGAAATAAAAGCCACTGTCTCCAGAGAGCTAGCCAGCCGAGAGCGGATGAACATTGACATTAATGTGTAATTAATGTGCAGTTCTGGCTTCAGTTCTTTTGGCAGTGCAGAGTTCATTACAACGGAATGGTAAAGCATCGCACATGGGTTTTATTTACTGCCTTATTAATGGCATCTGTTCTCCGGGCGAAGTGTCTCAGCTGCCTGCTCTTGTTCAAGGAAACCAGGAGAACTCACTGCGTAGCTGGCCCAGGCTAACTGACATGCTTTGGCTGGAAAGCCAGCTATAAAGGACGTGACGGCACCGCCGCGTTTTCCCGTGGACCCCGCTCGCCTGTTTAATGCCCTGCCCCAGCACCTGAGCCCATCGCACACGAAGGGGGGCACAGGGCTTCGGCCCCCAGACCTGATGGACCTGCCTGCGTTTGAGAACTAGCAAAATCTTTCTTCCCACCTCTCTCCCAGCACTGCCCTGGGATGTTTTACCATCTTCTCCAGCAAAAG